GTTTTATTTAAGAAAGGACTTGTGTCGCTGAAGTTTCGTTGGAACGAATTTACGGAAAATTAACTAACGAACGGAGACGTAACATTATTGTCCTTGATGGTTAATCTGAGACTTTTAGAAATTATTTTGGTTAAAGTTAGAGTACAGGGCATCTTTAGTTGGGAATAATGATTTAATAATTATCTGTATTATTTTCTGAAGTTGGATGCTAGTGAATAAGGACTGAATATCACAGCTATTTGGTTTGGTTTAGAAAATATATCTCTTCAGCAAGGAAGGAAAAAGTCTTTAACATTAAATTCCTTTCAGTTGTAACCTATGTGTAGGTACAAGTCTTTAGGCGTGGGAACCGAGGGTAGGTATAATAAATCTGAGGAGTAAACCATTTTTGTGTTTTGCATAGTGCGGGAAAGATAACGTTTAAAAAAATGATACCAGAGATGAATTTAAATTTTTTAATATATTTTACAGCCCAATGGAGCTTTTTCTCATGTTTGAAAGTGAGCTTAAGCCAGACATTATTGAGAGAGGTTTAAAATTTTATTCTTTCATTTAAAATGTTGTCCGTTCACAATCAGATCTGTTAAAATTATAACACCCATACCTGGCCTGATAACAACAACATATTTGTTACTGCCATATTCGTTTGATACAGAGGCTCAGTCTGTATAATAGGAAATAGTTTTTACAAAATAAAAAATCTATCACAAATATTAGGACATCCAAAACCGTAATTAGGAATATATTAGAATACAATTCGTCACTGTGTTTTATGTATAATAGGAAATAGTTTTTACAAATAAAAAAAAATCTATCACAAATATTAGGACATCCAAAACCATAATTAGGGATATATTAGAATGGAATTCGTCACTGTGTTTTATGTTCTTGTTTTATCTTCCGAGTAATTAAAATTTCAGAGGTTTCGTTATTTAGCTCAATAAAAACCTCAGTCACATTGAAGAACAAGCATGATATTTTATTTGGCATTTGTAATAGCCCATTGACATACTTAACCCTTTTTGACATTTGAAATATATTGTTGTTACATAAGTGTTATTTTTTTACAGAGCTCACGATATATCTAGAAATTTGAAGATTATGTAATAATCTCGATACAGTCAGCTAATGAAGTACTTGGTGGGTGATTCAGAGTAAGATCTATGACGTCTATTCATTTACTCGATCGATTATCCAAGAAATTATACGTGTAAGTTAGGCGTATGTACGTAATATTAGTACAGTAACTCTCCCTTTTACGTCGGGTTAAAATAGGATGTTAGGCGGATCGACGTAAATCGGCCGCTATTTTTCCATTGACTTAGTGTTATAAAGGGAAGATGCAATCCTGGAGGCTAATTTTAGGACATCAAAACTGAATCTGATCAAACAAAAACATAGAACAATAAATAAATAAATAAATACAGTACAAAACTAAAATATAAAAATAAACATAGATCAAGAAACACGGTTGTGTGTTATGCGGCCAAAACAATATGCAGGACACACTGTGTGTCAGGAGTGATAGTTTAGCGATATTCTCCTTTCTGTGGTAATCCAAACTATCACATATTTTCAGTGGATGTGCTCTACTAAATTTCAAGGCAATCCATTAATAAATACTCGAGATATAAATTCTTCAATTTTGATTGAATCTCATTCTTTTTTTTCTTCTTTACACTGAAAGTACGGTAACTTGATAGAAAAATATATTTAACTCTTGTGGATTATTTTTCAAAATTTGGTACACTGATAGATCTTCATTCGTTGTAAATACAAGCCACATGCAAAGTTATTCAATAAAAAACCGCTCAGTTTTGACCAAAATTTTTGCGCACGCTTACGTAAAAAGTCACGTGAGCTATCGGTCTAAAATTTATACTATAGCTTCACTTAAAAGTAAAAGTGGACAGTTTTTAGTTTTTGTTGTTGTTTTTCGGATTAAAGACGGGTGATTTAGAGTAAAAAAACTATACGGTGAAAGCACGTGCAAATACATAAGTATTGGTTATGCCATGCAAACTAGATTAGAATACTATCAAAGCATAACTGTAATGCTACATGATGTGCAGGAATGTAGACAGCAGTGTCCTTCCTTATGTTTGAATTAAGGCATAGCTGTAAGGCTGCATGATGTGCAGGAATGTAGACAGCAGTGTCCTTCCATGGTAGGTTATTGGTATCTTGAGGTTAAGACCTTCCTTATGTTTGAATTAAGGCATAGCTGTAAGGCTGCATGATATGCAGGAATGTGGACAGCAGTGTCCTTCCATGGTAGGTTATTGGTATCTTGAGGTTAAGATCTCCACTATGTTTGAATTAGAATGCTTAGTCACGTGGGGTGCGCTAGCCATTCCGAGTGAATCCGACATTACCTTTGAAGTAAGGAATGTAGAACTTAAAGTTTGGTAAATGTTCTCAAGCTAATCGTTGAGTTCCTATTTAGAAGTGACAGATCATTTAATCAAGTACATACACTGTGTCCATGTGTTACGTTACAATAAAAATTGTGCTTCTTGTATTTTACATTGTGTCTAGTCTATTTATTTAGTTCCCACAAACTCCGATATTTACAGACACCCAATATTGCTCTGTAATATATACCTTATCAGATCTGTTAATCAGCAGACCAATCCCTTTGCTCTAGGAACAATGTTTTACCTTAATATACCACATTTTTTAGAAATTATTTTGCTATTTATGTCCAACTGTATTATAAAATGAAATAAATTATTTGTAGGTGTGGTAGTAAAACAACAAACAGAAAGCATAAAGGATAAAAAACCTCCTCGAAATAATGTTTCTAATATTAGATTTAAGCAAAGATGTGTATAAAATCAACAAGGCTTTGAAACTACCGATTAACGAATATCCATTAATTGCAATACGGTTACATTATTTGACTTGATGAAAATATAAATCTGTCGTAACACATGGGTAGATTGTTAACCCTGTTAATTATTTCCATATAAACAAAGTTAAAATAGGGTACTTAAGAATATCAATAAAATGATGACAGGAAAAGCTATAGACGACTTTTTTCCAACATAATAAAAACAGTATAATAACTGGTATTAATTCAACTCTTATACAATATCTGTTAGCATACAGATCCTGAATTAATATATATAACACTGGTCTCTATTAATAAATACATTAGAAACTTTCTGTTGCTCAGTTGCTGGTGGATGAATTGTGTTATCTGAAATTCATCTAAAGGGGGCGTCTATAATAAACTCTAAAACAACAATAAAAAATAGAACCTTGGAGTCAATCAAGATCATCCAACAGCCTAATAAATTTATTAACGTCATAAAGAAAAACATGGATACAAACATTGTATTTCAGTTTCTCAAACAAATCATGAAAAGATACTGAATGAGATCAATAAGGTTTTATGCAACACTTTGGATATTGGGCTCGAGATTGTTAGCTCAAACTTCACAGTGTTTTATATGTGCACATTCAAAGATAATTAAAAACAACCCATCAACCCACACACACACAGTATATAGATTTATAGAATAAACAAGGAGCATTTGTAACAGCAGTACAAAAACAAGTGAAATGAAACAGAACCAACAATGAGTCAGAAAAATAAAGACTTGAAACAAACTAGTCCTCTTGCATTCTGATCAGGAACTGCTACAGCCCAAACATTTTTAATGTTTACTTTGCAACAATTCAAACTACAAAACCAATATCATAACTTCAAACAAATTTCTAAAGAAGTATTCAAGACTTGGTGTAAAAGTATTCATTTTAAGAAATATTATTAGTACATTGCAGTTCTACAAGGTTAATGAATGAGAACTAATAACGTGCTGTTACAGAAGCAATTAAACTACAACAGTCATAATACACAATGAATGTTATTGTGTAACTCAAGATAGCACTTAGGGATACTTTGAAAAGTCAAAAACATAGAACAGCAACAGAGCAATTGTAGATGGGGACATTATATATGCATGTACTTGTTGTTGTTTTTTACGTAATATTATTAATAGAGCATTACTGTCTTCAAGATTTCTGAAGTTTTATTCTTCACTTTCTGATGCAAGAAATGTTTGATCTATTTACAATAGTTGAAAAGAGTTGGTATTCTTCATAAACAGACCTACAGGAGAAAGTTATACTAAAATAGATTTTAAATATTTTTTAAATTTTAATTCACCACGAATTAACAAAAATACACACATTTACAAAGACACCTTCATAAATGGATATATAACACTACCATCTTCAGCTGGTGCTAATGAAAAATTCAAACAAGAAAATTCCTAATTGTTATAGACATGTATTTCTCAAAATTTTATTATCTTATATGTTTGTTCTACATTTAATTTAAATCATGATTCAAATATATATGCAATTTCAGTTAATTTCTTATTAATTGTACTTTTATTAGAGTCAGAAAGTTCTTTACGGTCACTGCTGGACTCTACTGAGGCCAGTATTAAGAATATAACATGTGGACCTACTCTGAAGTTTGGAAACTAATTCTTCACCTAGCAGCTTTGCACTCACTAACAATATTATCATGTCTAGACACAAGTTACTTAAATCAAGCTGTTAAAACCTTTACAAAAGTTAGATCTTACAATGTACCTGATGAAGTACAAACTAGGCACCTAACTACTTCCTAATAACACAAGTATCAAGATTGTTCCTGTGCTACTTGCTTCTTTTTACACAGAAATTACCTGAAACAAGAGAAATTGATGTTTTGTAAGCCAAAAACTTCAGAGAAACAGTCCAAGTCTATATTTTGGGCATATTCTGACTTCATACAAACTATGGATCAATTATTCTTTTAGATTTGAGATTATTCTTGTTCAGTGCCTTTTTAAAACATTAACAACTTTGTACATGTGCACTATTAAAGGTTTAACTTAACTTATGAGTGTGAATCGTGCAAGTTTTCTGTTTGGAAGAACGAAAATTGTAATTTAAAAAATATTACATTACTTATTAAATACCTGGAAAGTCAAAACAATATAGGAATTTCAAATTAATGGATACTTCTTAATAAGCATTTCATGTTTTTACTAAAATTGCAAACATGTTATACTTATCACAAAATCACTTTCAATACTTCATACAGAATCACAAAGTTTTTTTATTGAAGACAAGACTCACTGTCTGCAAATAGAAAATGAAGTTGAAATCAGATTTTGTTTGTTTCTTTTGCAAAAACCAAGTTATGAAAACACTGATGAGTATCAAACGTTTTGTTTTTCATAATTTACTCCATATTACTTTTCATAACAGTATTATTCATGAAGGCTACGCTCAACTTTAAATTGTTTCTTACACTCCTTTATATTTCTTACATTCAACTATTCATATAAATTCAATAGCAAAATTAACACTTTTTTTTTTACAGGATTTTCACTTGTTTGTATTTTCATGGTTAATCAAAATGGCACAACACATTTTATTAATACACAAATATGAGATCAGTGCTTTCTATGCAACTTACATCTAACATCATTGTACAAAAATTACTATTTAAGAAGTTGCGCTTAAAAATATCCTCTTTGGATATCTGTATTTTGAAGAATTCCCAGTCTTTTTAGTTTTTACCATGACTAATTTGTTTATTAGATTTGTTGTTTTTTTTCCTATTTTCTCAACATGAATCCAAACAGCACTTCAGATTTTTCTTCACATCATATATACACACATCATGTAATTCAGAAGTTTTCACAAGACTGTCTCATTTTGTCTAATTAGCAACCTCCTCGAAGAATCCTTATCACGTAAAATACTTATAGTCCTGTGGAGTTTGTTAGCTCTCAAATCTGGTTTTAGCTGAATTCATCTGAGGTGAGACACTTAAAATGTCCTTGTCTTTTGAAAGCCTGCTTATTACATAAGATATGCTATCCGGAAAACGTTTTACTCTTTTCTAAGTTTAAATTGCTCATGTTCATCCTCAGTGAAAATTATTATTTGAAAAAAATACAACATACTCAGAGTATAGGCTAAAAAACCTTAAGTGAATGCTACAATTTGCTTTCAGCTTTTCCACTTGGTGTTTGTTCAGCTATTCGAGGTAAAGTTGTGCCAATGCTGGCTGAATGTCTAGATCTTCTGTCGACACACAGCAAGAAGCTGCTGGAAAGCCAATGTCAGGATTCGTACAGAAGGCGTTGATAATGAGGAAAAATTTCCCATGTTGGTAAGTGTAATGAAAACTCCATTGCAACCAAAACTCCAAATTCCGAGTTTAGAAGATCCTTACGACTAACTCGAAATCCACATTCAATTTTCTGATGAGGAAAAAATATTGTGATTAAATAATAGAAATACAAAAACCTTATCTTTTTTTTTTAAGCAAAACACATATTTTAATTAAATAATGCAAACAACAGTAGAATACAATTACCATATATGAATACGGTAAAAAAACAACAACATGGATGTTTGTTTAAACACTGCTCTATTCTAAGGTGATTTTAGAATGTTTAATGAATAATACAATTTCATAAATCTATTCTTGATGGAAATAAAACTATACATTTTACATCAATACACTTAAAAACACTTAATTCAGGTAAATATAACTTAAGAAGGTTACATGTTCAAATTATTTTTTTTAAATATTTTAATATACACAAAAGGATATTCAATAAATAAGTACTATAAATGAATTTCATACATAATGTTCTGTTTCAAACCAAAACTGTCATGCTTTCCTGGTGTTTTGCTGATTTTGTTATAGACTATCATATCTGACCATTCCTGAAATTTGTAATAAATTATGTAACCTAGCTCTTCATAATTTCTAACCATTCTTTATTCAGTGCATTTTTTATAGGAAGATTTCATGAAGAAAAAACTATCATTTACATCTTTCAAGTTCACCTGCATAATTATTCCTCTTCAAGTATTATGTAGGAACTACTTTATAAAATTCCAGTCTTCATCCACAATGTTTATTTTCTTACAAGACTCTTATCTTACCTCAAAAAGAGTCTTCAGTTCCACACCCTTGACGTCATTCAGTTTGGCCGAGAGAAGCAAGCAAGCTCCAGCACACAGTTTCCTGTTATGTTTGTTCACCAACATCTAATCACAGGCAGATGGAAATTATCTTGACTGTTATGTAATGAAACATTTTTAACATATTCTACTTGAATTTTTTTAATGAGTGACTAATATATTTAACCAAGTTACACTAAATGCTTTTGCAATATAAAAGATTAAAGGCTGATTTCTCAACCAAATTTAAATGCAAGTGTTCCCCAACTGTACCTAAATATAAATATATTGTTCTGTAAATTGTAGATTAAATTATCTGACAATTTCAGAGGAGAAGAGTTGATAATGTTAAAACCTACATTCTTCATTTGAACATGTTTTAGATTTAGTCACTTGCTGCAATTTGTTGTTCTTCATATTTTCGTAGATTGATTTTTATTACATCATTGTTCACATGATATGCATGACTGATTGATTAATAACATGAGTATTGAAATTAAGTTTTATTCATTTGTTAATGTTACTGAACACAATAATTTATTCATTTATTCTGCACCAAACAGGTCTTTAATAAGATGTTAATGGATTCTATCAATTCCAAATGAAAGAGAGCTGAAGAACAGCTATAATGAGGCTAAGTATTAGTTTCCAATTTGAAAAACATTCTACAGAAATATTAAGAAGTAGAGAAAATTCATTGCATTAACATCCGATTGTCTGCACTTTTAATAATAGCTTCTTCTCATGCCTTAAGCCTACCAATGACCCCAGGTCTGAGAAAGAGTAAATACTTAGAACTTTGCAAATCAAATATTATGGCAAATATTCTCCATGTATTTACTTCCAAAATATTAGTTCATCTTCATGAAGACACATTCTCAACATTATTATATGTCACTCTTTACATGGGAATTATAAGATGCAAGTCATAACTGATTTTATTCCTAGGTTTTAATGTATTGAAAACAAACACACTTACCTTTAAAATCAACTTTTCAAAATATACATATGACTGAGCTACTGTTATAAGGTCAATTCCACACTGTTGGGAAAAAATATTAATTTTACTAGCAGTTTACACCAATATAAAAATAAGTCTTTCAAAGCACAAAAAAAGCAAAGCAATTATATATCACAATTTATGAGTTTTAAGGTTATATATATATATATATATATTACCTAAAAGTATAAACACTATGAATCTTAAAGGCTCAATACAATAAAAGAATTTGACTTAATAAACAAACGTCATTTTATCGAATTTAACTAC